CCAAAGAAATATATTCTAAAACTAAAAGTAGGATAAGCACTTTGACATATAATAGCAATTATTAGGATTTCAGGTGAGTGTGAAATTTTTCGTCCAAAGTTTCACTGCATGAGCTTCTAGGGATTGTGTGTTACAATTTTGTTGCTTGCTGGCTTGTCACACACACTTTTGCACCTCATCTGCTGCTATTACTGAACATGTTGGCGTCAAGTAGCAAATTCTATATCTACTTTTCTGATCACTGACACTGTTAACTAAAGCAGAGTGGCAGACAGTCACTCAAGCGGGCGAATAAACACGATCGGCACAGAAAAGTAGAAACACTTTATATTTTCTTTTTTTTTGTTTCGAGTAAAATAAAATCCCAAATCGAGTAACACTGCCCCTTCTTCTGCTACCCTTCTAAGCAGAGTATAAAAATATTAAGTTTTTCTTATTAGTCGTCTTAATTCTAGCACAAAATATGTTATGATCTATGAATTACACCAAATGCAAATACTATTGCTAAGCCTTGTTTGAAAATAGTTTATCCTTTTTGAGCACCACTCTTCTAATATCCGTTCAATGGGTTTGTCCTATGGTCAAAACATTTTCTTATATGTCGAACCGAAAAATATATGCCGCATACAATGAATTGATTGCCACCAAAATGACTTCATAAGTTAATGTTGCCAGCAGTGCAATACATTGCATCAGTTATTAAAGGTAAAGTAAATTAAAATTAAGCGAATAATTAATTGTTCTCAGTTTCTTTTGAAGAAAGAAAGAAATTTTTCGAAAATTTGCTTCTTAGCCATCTCTTTGATTTGTTATACCCTACGCGAGTCGTGATACAAAATTATATTAATTAAGCTTGTGGGGATGTCTGGAGCACTCAGGAGTACTTGAAATAGAGCCACTTTCCCATATGCGGAATCATTTTCTGAAACGATGTAAACTTTTCTGCTCATCTGTCCCTTTTGTTTCCTTTTTTTCGCGGCCTGTGCGCAATTTTTGAGATATTTTTATCAAATGTGACACATCGACAAATATTTGCCCGCCGACGAACACTGTTGAAAATGGTTCGGATTAGACCAATTTTTTGATCACTTCCCATATGATGCCTTCTTTTGAATATGCCTTCTCGTGAACCGTAACCGTGAGATAGTGTAGGGCATTTAATGGTGGACCATGGTCCTCTTATTTTATGAAATTTTCGAAAATAATTTTAATTATGACAAAATAAATATCAAACAAATAAACCAAAAAAATTGTTCGAAAAGAAAAAAACAAGAGCACTCAAGTTATTCAACAATAACTCATTGACTAACTTAAGTATATCTAAGTATATATAATATCGTGGATAAATTCATATGTACGTCAAGTGTATATATGTATTGCTATGTTTGATAATAAAAATAATAACAATGTTATGCTTTGTTTAAATAGCTTTTAATATAAAGATAGTCTCCCTGTAAAACGCCTTCTCATTATAGTCAACGCGCCTTAGCCGCCCCCTAAATTAGCGCAAACGTACGTAAATACCGGTAAATGCACACAATAAACAGCATTTGAAAATTTATATTTTTAGTTGAATAAAACCGAATGCATATCAAACGAACGGTAAAGCGAAAATTTTCCAACATTTTATTAAGTATATAAACTTTATGACGTCTAAAGCTAACACAAACTGCGGACTCGTGGCATTGGTATTCTTTTTCTTCTTCTTCTTCTGCTTTTGCTTCTTTTTTTAACTTTTTTTTCTTACATTTTCATGGCAATTTTCTTCGCGGAGTGTATCAACAAAACTCCAAGAGGTTTGAACACTGTGTAAAAACAATAATACAATAATAATAACAACAGCAGCAACAACAACAACAGCTATTTATATAAAAGTAAAGTTGCTGGGACTAAAGCAGACGAATAATAGACAATGAATAGCTACTAAGCAACAACAACAACAATAATAATAATAATAATAATAACAACAACAAAGAACAATAGTTATAGTAATTGCAAAAAGATTTATAAGCATGATGGTGTTAGTGGACGATGATGGTTCGGAAACGTTGAAATAGTATGCAAAACAACGATTAAATATTTTGCCTTTTAAACGCGAAATTATACTTTGACACGTCATAAACGTTTCCAAAAATGAACAACATCATGGTTGAATGAAAATTAACTTGCTTTTCGAATATATATATATTTTTTTATTTTTTTGTTTACTTTTTAACCGAAATAATAAAAAACAAATATTCTCGAGTAGTAGTGAGTTGATTTTGATTGAGCAATTTCTGGGACATGAGACTATAGGGAGAGGATGCCCGTTTACAAATATGTTTTGAATGTATTTTGAATGTTTGGTAAACGCCTGGTGTTTGCTTAAGAGTTTTAAGCCTTTAACGTGTTGAATTATTAAATTTTTTGTTATGTCGTCGTAACATAAAATAAATAATAAACAAAAAAAGTAAATGGAAGAGACAAGTGTGGTGACCTAGTTTCCGATATAGATTTTCGTTTACTTTTTGTTTTAATATTAGATAATGCACCCACAACTTAATCATGAACAACTCTATATATAAGCGCTCCACGAATTCTATTTACTTTTTTTTGGCCCGTTCTTGTTGAACTCATTAGTTTTTTTTTTTTTTTTTTTTCGTTTCCTTTTTTAAGCAAATAGTTGTCAAAGCATATCAATCACTGTATAATATATCTAAATGGAATTTCCGATTAAACTTAAAATTAATTATCGCTCATTTAATTAAAGTTTATTTAAGCGAAAAACTAAACCAACAGCCGAAGAAGATACAACAACTACGCGTACATGTCTATCCATATCAGAGATGAGCACGTGAATGCATATTTTTGCAGTCACCTGTACTAGTGTTTTTCAATGCTTGCAACGCTTTTAGAAAAATAATTATCGAATTAGGCTACAGAGGATATGAAAAATTGGTTTCACTATGTTGTCTGTCCTTCCGTACTGTAAAAATCAAATTTAAAGCCTTTGACATTTTCATTTAATCGCAAAACTGTCACCATCGCCAATTAGAACCCTATTCAAAGTTCTGTGTCAACAGAAACTAAGGCTATCGATAACGCAATGACTCAAACGGGGTGATGATCAAGTTCAGGTCTTAGTAGCCTCTAGTATCTTTTCAAAACACGACTTCGATCTACTTAAAGCTCAGAGAAGTTTCTGTATTTACAAATCGAGGTTTGGCATGGAGAGATCGTACTCTTATTCAATATGATATGGCATCGGTGACTGCAGCCTTTCGAATCGCACTTAGCTTAACTAGATCTAGAATTAATTTCATACCGACTATTTTTTTAAGCGAAGCGAACATTTTATTGCGCATATTGGTGCAGGCGTGGTTTCTTCGCGTGAAAGTATTATCTTCAAGACTTGGGCAAGGGTATAAGTTATCCCGCTAAACTTTTGTTATGTTTAGTCTTATACTAAGAAAGACCTAAAGACACAAAACATTACTTCTCTTATTCAAGTTAAAGAGAAGACCCGTGATGGATGATGAAAAGTGAACAGGACTTAATATCTGAAAGGCAAAAAACCATAGTCTAATCCCGAAAAGCCATTGAAATCGTCAAACGAATACGGATTACTACCGCCAACCCTAAAAGGTGATCGGACACAAAAAAAAAAAAATCCGTCTCACGAACTTTAGCAGCATTGGGTGGGAATGAGTTATACTTTCCGCAGAATTCGTCAAATGTTAGGTCTACCGATAAGCACTCAACGTCAACCGATATCTTATTGTTTGTTCGAGCATCTGTTCTGCTATTTCCCAAAATAAATATTCTCTCGAGGAAAATCCCTAAAGATCTGTTGCTTTTTCGGCACAGAGTTGATATTTCTCTCAGGAAGTTTGCAAACGTAGTGCTGTTCAACGAAGGAGACATGGTTCAAATAAAATATTTTTTCCTTTCTATTAAAAAGAGTGTTCCTAAGATGCATCACACTTGTGGTGGTCTATGGATCACACTTATAGTGGTTTTAGTTAATATAATTATTTACTGTACAGTATTGTTAAGGTATCAAACAATTTACCCCAATTTAAAAACCATTACTTCCCTGTTCTTTATTTTTTACCTAACTCCCCCTATCGCACACTCGCCCGCGAAAAAACTCAGAAATGTTTTGTAATCTGATCATTTATAACTCACCCGTCAGTCACGAGTAACGGCGCGATCCGATTCTCTTATTACATACATACAACGTCCGTGTACCTACATAACAGGTTCGTCTTCCATACGTCAATATCGGAAATCTTAAAGCGCCTCGAAGGCGTGCAGTACAATAAAATAAAATTGAAATTTTTTCAATTGACGTAAACATCACACAACGGTTGCTGTTTCCACGCATAAAATTGCTTGGATTACTGCTTAGGTGAATATCAATATTACAGGAATTTCTTTATTGCATGGCTGTTACCTGTAGTCGTCAGTAGACGATATTGCTGCTACTACTGCGAGGCGAGCTCATCATTTCCTCAGACGAATGTGAATTTTAACATATGCTGTAGTCTGCTTCCAAAGAACTTATGCTAAAATTTTTACAAGTTTTCAGTGCTTTTTTTTCTTTTCGGTTTCTAGAATGAGGAAAATGAAAAGTAAAACAAAGGGAACTAAGAATTCTTGATTTCGTAGGCAACAAACAGATTGCTATTAATAAATATTCAAACCATCACTTAAAAGGAAGAGGACGATGTTATCGAAAAGAGTAATCGAAAGAAAAAAAAAAAAAGAAAATGAAAAAAAAAAGATGATCAGCTTTGCTTTTGTCAAGTATGTGAGCATTTAGCGGAAAATTTCCACCACATCGTTTATCTACTTTGGGTATTAGATTTTGAGTGAATCTATTTTTTTATATTTTTTTTTTTTTGTAGCCATCACACCTCCATTGACGTTTATTTATACAAATTCTCTTAACGCTTTCAGATAATGCTTTCTTCTCTAATGACTTTTCGCATTCTTTTCTTGCTTTACTTTATTCGCAGGTACTGTAAATGCGAACGGTGAAACCAAACGACAACGAACCTCATATACCCGCTATCAAACCTTGGAGTTGGAAAAGGAATTCCATTTCAATCGTTACCTGACCCGCCGAAGACGTATCGAAATCGCTCATGCGTTATGCCTGACAGAACGTCAAATAAAAATTTGGTTCCAAAATCGGCGCATGAAATGGAAGAAGGAGCATAAAATGGCATCTATGAATATCGTGCCCTATCATATGGGTCCCTACGGTCATCCCTATCATCAATTTGATATTCATCCGTCGCAATTTGCTCATTTGAGCGCATAGGACGCGTGGCACTTTTCGGGTACTGGTTAGAGACTCAATCAGTTGTATCAGGAACCATATCAAGCGGCGGCAGCAGCAAGTGTAGCCGGCGGTTATCAGACACAAAATTCGCAAGATTTAACTAGCGGCAGCGGCGGTAGTGGTGCTGGTGGTGGTGCTGGTGGCGGTGGTGGTGGTGGTGGTGGTGGTGTTAATCCTCTATTCGCTACTGGGGCAGCAGCAGCGACCACATCGAATGCCGATTGCGTTAAATATCCGCAAGAGTTCTGATCTCAAGTTATCATTGGTCCTCAACAAAGGCTGTCATACTCTGCGGACAGTGAGAATGAATATCGTTATCGCTGCAAGCAGGAGCACGATTTACACGGTGGAGATCTAACATGTCTGACGACGGCCGATCCACAAGGCTTAGAGTTACGTGACGATAATGAGATCGGCTGCAACTTGTACTGCTGCTAAAGGTGCAAAAAGAAAAACAACAACAAAAACAAAAAACAACAACAACAACAACAAAAAAAATTTGCAAAAATTTTCTGTCTTCTAAGCTAAGATAACAACAATTTTTGCTTAGCCGCTGTTGATAGCTAATCTTATTAGAAAACGTTTTCTAACATGAAACATAAGATGTTCCGAGTACAACTGATATGAGGTTAAGAAAAGAAAAAAAAAAAAAACGAGCCTTACTTTTTACAACCCAACAACAACAACAACCTGTCATTAGAAACATCAACAAAGCTTCGAAAGTAAGCCAAAGGTTTTTAGTGATCACTTATAGTATCAGCTCGTTTTTGTTGGCCTATAATACTGGCATTGACAGTTAGTTGCAAGAGTTTTTGAAATCAAAAATTTGGAAAACTGTTCGCAAACAACATATGTTCAAATTTTTTTTCAATTTTTTGTTTGCCATTTCTCATCAATAGAAGCCGGTATTGTAAGCCAACATTTTTCTCTCTAAGCAGTATTCGAAAAGCCTTTAGTTATTAAGTTAACACTATTAGCATAATTTTTAATTTATTGTATTGTGTTTTTTTTCTATCAACGCTCCCTTCCTGCTTAGGTAGGCGTGTTTTTTCTCATTCATTTGTTTCAACTTCTGTTTAAACAACTGTTACTTATTATTATTATTATTATTATTTATTATTATTTTCGTTTTTTTTTTTTTTTTGATTTTTATCGTCTTCGCGTACTTAATTTCATTAACAAGCAATTTGATTTTAATTATTAATATAAAAAAAAAAAAAAAAGAAACAATTTTGTTGTGTTTTAAAATTAATTATTAGAGAAAAAAAAAAAATTCTTTTAAAGAAACTTTTGAAATTAATTTAAATTTTTTTTTTTAATTTTAATGTAAATTATAATTAATATTGTTTTGCTTCCTTTGGCTCTGTTATGCTTTATAATAATTTGAGAAAATTAAAAATTTCGCTAAACTAACTAAGAATTATTTAAAAAAAAAAAAAGAGGAATGAAAAAATAATTTTAAAATAAAAACAAATTCGGGTGCACAGGGCTTTCTTTTACCCCATAAATTAAAACTAACATCATCTCATTTTCGTTCGTAATACATTTGCCAGTGTCATTGCATATATCCTCCAGTTTTTGTTCTTCTCCTCATTGTCTATGTATGTAACATACGTATAATATAAAATTAAGATCCACATATATGCCGTTGTGTGCCGTTAACATTCGATCTTAACACGACTATATATGCGAGATATGCATAGCTTTTCCCATTAAACTTTTTGCTTTAATTTTCGTTCATCTGTTCAGTGCATTGTACAAAGTCTTATTATTAGTTTATCAGTTTTTTTATTTATTTAGTTTTTTTTTTTTTTATAATGTGTTTGCAATAAAAAAAAAATAGAAAATTCATATTTATAAACAATTGGCGAATAGTTCATAAGTTACGCTTATGTGATTATTTTGTTTTGTATCTATGATTGTATGTGTGTGTATGTGTGTGTGTGTATGTGTGTGTGTGTGTGTGTGTTTGTATGCACATATGACAAATATATAAAGAGTAATTAAGCAAAAAGAGAAGGAAAAATTAATAATGATAGTTACACTTGCCTATCACCTCTGATCCTCGATATTCTTCAACTTTGCTCGACACTTCGTGCCAGATTGATAGAGCCGTGATTGAAGCAGGTAATCTTTCTAACTTTTAACACTAATGCAAAGAATTTGCACTCATTCCGTAATTGAAAAATAATTACTCTTTTTCTGAAGTGTGTCGTAAAAACTTACCTTAAAATAGAAAAAAAAATTTTATTAACATTTTTTTTGCCTAAACGAAAGCTAGTAAAAAAGTTTTATCAACCTGAAGAGGAATGTTGCGTATAACCTAGCGTTAAGGCAACCAGAGGAGTTATCTTGACTTTCTCAAATTTCTAAAGAATATCTACGAGAAGAGGAAAGTTAATCGCAACACTACGTGAAAATGTTCACTTTTTCTTCCTTTTTAGTTCTCTTTTTCTTCGCTATTATCGCCAACTTCATGTCTTGTTAGTTAGAAACATACAGTCCGCGTATACTTAAGAATGCTCGCAGACGTGCAGTAGACACCACAATCACATCGGAATCAGATGTAAGTGCTCGTAGGGTATCTACCGCGTGCTTGAATTTGATTGAGAAAATTAGTGACTTTAGCTGAAATTTTTTTTATTTGGTAAGCAAAAAGTTATCTTTCGAATAAAACTTTTTTTGAAAATTTATGCTTTATAAAGCAAACTTTTTCCTGAACTCGTAGAAGTCAAGAAGTGCGATCATATCATAGAGGGTCAAGCATATTGTAGTTACGAGAGTAAATTCCAATTGAGATCTGAATCAATACATACATAGTTGTATAGGGCGCAGTAATTCCTAAAACTTCTTACGGGAACAATAAATCGACGTTTCGTTTGCGTTTCGTTCACGTGGAAGCTCGTATTCGATGGCTTCGCACATAGGAAATGTAGCCTCTTTAGTGGAAAAAAGGCACAGCAAAATTTTAAGTCGATTGGGACGCGCAAGTGAACTGAACAACTCTAAGAAAAAATTCTGTGCCGATATATTATTTAATATATACGGCTCGATCCTTTTTTACCTATCCCGATCTACTAGACTTTGTTATCTCCAGTCCCGTCACCAATTTTTTTTCACACTTCCACTACTTTGAAAAGAATAATTACTTTTTTTGAGTGTGGATGACTTATAATTGCATTCTATATATGTTCGAAATATAGATACCACGAGCGGTACATAGGTATGTTTTGTTTTTGTGGATGTATCCAACACCCAGGAGGACTTGAAATAGACTCAACTTTTATTATACCGATCAATTCAGGATTGCTTTTTGAATCGATCTGAACTTGTCTGTCCGTCTCTCCGTTTTTTTTTTTCTTTTTTGCATTCAATGTGCAGACCGTCACTTCTTGAAATATATTGATGAAATTTGGTACGCTGATGAGAAGGATGAGCGATTTTGAAAATGTTTCAGATCAGACCACTTCTCATATAACGTCCTATCTTGAGAAGTCGTTGGTGTAGGATGTTTCATGGTATTCTGTGGCTCGTTAGAAAATTTTTCGTGTTTTTTTTTAATTAAGAAAGCATCAGCGGTCCGATCAACTAGTATTATAAGACCTCTGAATGAGAATAGCCCTACTGTTCGCTTATTTAACTTTCTTTCCTTCTTTCATTTTAAAGCGAGCGTTGGATCATTTTGGAATGAATTCCATGTTCAAATATGACTGACTTGTAATGAAGGTGAGACAAGATTTCTTTTTAAACATTTTCAAGACTGGCCACATAAAGGGAGAACACACCCTAGCTTTTTGTTAATTGAAATGCAAGTTAATGGTCTCTGTCTAAAATCCTTACAATTCCGAGTAAAACTCATACATATGCCCACACTTTTATTGACCGGTATGTTTATGACTATACCCCAATAGATTTCATAAAGACTTTTTCCTGCCTTCAATCGAAACGCAAGTTCGAGTATTCTTCTTAAGTATTTTTGAGATTCGGGATATCTGCGTCGAGTCCTCTGTAGAGTAGCTCAGCAGAGTTTTCAAGGGAGGTTTCAATGGCAAAAGCAGCACTTTCGACACTCGGGAGTCAGATTTAAGTATCATAAGAGCAATCTTGCTAATGTTAAGAGAAATTCCTACGATATGATGGTTATATGATTTGTATTAGATCGCTATAAGAGAAAGTAATATCAATGCCTGTCCTTAGTAATGTAAATATAAACTTTCGAATATAAATATAAATATTTAACAAATTAATGCTAAGGTTAGTGTATCGTCTGAACGATGTGTTTTTTAGATATTAAGATCATTAGGATATATGTTTATTATAAAATTGTTTGTCTAGTAAATGGTTTAGAAGAAATTTGCATAAAATATTTGTTTATTTAAGTATTGTTTTTCTCATAATAATGATTTGTAATTTTTTTTTTTCACCATTTCATACAAAAAAAAAAAAAGAAAGAAAACACCAAACATAAAAAACAAACAAATCATAAATAAATGTATATCATATAAAACTGTAGATGATAACCAAGTGGAGTCCAACCAATCAAGAGTCCTCTTGTGTTAAAATGATAAATTTTGGATGCAAAATATATAATTTTCGGCTTAAGCCGAATCTCGAATAGCCATTATGAACGAACACTTCTTCATTACAAAACATATTATAAGCAGAACAACAAATTTTGTATATATAACATATATAGCCGTTGAAATAATGTTATGGATTCAAAAAGAAAAGCAAAAAAAGAAGAAAATTGTAAAAAAATAAGAAAAATAAGAGTTAAAATAAATTTTAATTCTTTTTAGAGCAAAACTGTGTTGCATTCCATGTAAATTTAATAATAATTGAAAAAAAAATAAACAGTATATATACATATATGAGATAATTGAATAACTAAATTGTAATGTAATGGATCATAACTTAAGATAGTACTACAAAGTCTAACGTTTTTCGATATAATAATAAATAATGAAATACACTTTAAGTTCACAGATACAATTTGTTATCAATAATGAAAGCGAAAAAAAAAAAAAGATAATGTATAGTAACGTAATACTCTTATGAATAAAATCTCTCTATATTGAATTGAAAAATTGAACAGAAAATAAAGAAAAGAATAAAAGAATTTTCATTGAAAGTGATTATTTCAAAAATCTAAACATATATATGCGATTTTCATTTTCAACTCAACGTATTATCGGAAACATAAACGAAAGTTACGCGTGCGAGCTTAAGAGTGAAATATGAGACCTCCAGGTTTTCCAATGGTTTTATGCTCGCCTTTATAACAGACAAACTGAATAAACGTATCTAAGCCAAATTAATAGCGAAATCGCATAAATACTTAAACCCATAGAGAGAACGTACAAAGAAATTTGAAAGGCCCAATACTTCTTTAAGAAAAGCGAGAAACTGTAAGGTTGGTAAAGATTTCAGTACAAGCTAGAGCGCTTATTAAACGCTAAAGAAAAGGACTGATAATTACCACAGCACTATGGCGATGAAGTAGCGCTTTGATGGTATCAAGCGGGGCAAGAGATGCAGCTTTAGCATGCAAAGACAAAGAAGCTTAAATTAGTTTATGCTCGTGTTAAAGATTTTCTTAGGATTCATTTTCAGCTTCCATCAGCAGAGGCCAAGATACACTTCTCTTCACTATAGTATCGCATTTATTTCCTCATCTGAACAGCTGCTTACCCGATACCTCACGAGAACGTTTACAATTTCGTTTTCTATCTTTCACTTTGGCTAGAATTTTTCGACACAACTCGCAAAAGTTCACTTTAAAATCATAAAACTTAACCTTCTCCTTATAATTTTGTGGATTTTAAGGTCACGGGTAAGTGCTGTTCACCTCAAACCGCCTTTCCGCAAATTCGTAAAGATTCATTTTGATTTCATCTTTTGTCTGAAATACAGTTGCTTGGAGTTTGGTACAAACAAAAATTCAATTTTTATCTCCAATGTCCTTGAATTTCAATTTTATCTCCAACACGTAACGTGACGTAAAATCAGACTTCACTAATTTATTCCAATAATACATATATGACTCGCCCTGTTATTCATGGTTGCGATTCAGACTAAAATTTTTATTCTTGTAATTGCAACTAT